TTTTTTTTTTTTTTTCCTTGAGTGGCTTGTGTGTGTTTCAGTCTGATTTTTTTAAAAAAGGGAAATAAAGAGCTCCATTGGTGCACTTGGTTAGCGCGCGGTACTTATATAAAAAGGGAAATAAATCAGTGTGCTACTTAAAGGAAATCAACTAGAATTGGCTCTTCCTAAGGGGAGAAACAGTATATACTGTGGAGAATATGCTTTTGGCTCTAAAAGTACTTGGGATGTTCCAAACTCTTGGCTCTTGGTGGGTCTCTGTGTGACTATAATACACGCTGGTGTAGGGGATGCAAAGATCTCTTTAGCTGCTGGCCACACGTCTTTCATATATGGGCTTGTGAGACACATATCACCTTCAGAGCCACACAAGCCCTATTTGGATGTCTTCTGTACCTTTCTGTATGATTTGTGTAAGAACATTGAATTTACCAGTCTCTTGTGAAGGCTGAGCTGTTGTTGGAGCTGCACAAGCAGAGTGCTGGTGAAACTGTGTGCCCACAGTTGTGCCATGTACCATTTCAAGATCCAGGGACATTGACTGTGGTCCCCCCAGCAACTCTGCAGAGTGGGTTATCACTAAGGTGGGTTTACAAATAAGGAAACTGAGGAGCAGGGAAGTGTTAGTGTTAGGTAAATGTGGATATGTCTCCCTGGTGTCTGGACGTTGTAATCACCATTGGCATCTCTTTGGCCATTGTTGCCCTTTTGACACTGGTACAAGATTTGTTTCCCATTCATTCCTGGAGGCCACAGGTTCTGTGAGTCTGCCTGTGGAGATGTGCCCTTGGGGTGCTGAGTACCCTTTTTGGGGAGCCATCTACCTCTCCAGGTAGTGTCAGGCCAGCATTGTGACAGTGGCTTGATAGCTGAGGGTTGGTGGCATGGTTTTATGCCTCATTTTCCATTTGGTAAAGTGATAGTGTGGGCTCTCAAGTAACTCTGAAGAACATGGTTGTGGGCTTCATGGGGGTGTGGGAGTGGGCATGTGGGGATTGCATGTATCTGATCACGTGTGGGGTTGCTGACTCTGACCCTTGTTTGGTTTCCCAGGAAAAAGGCAGCCATGGAAGATCTGGGGGAGAACACCACCGTCTTATCCACCCTGAGGTCCTTAAACAACTTCATTTCCCAGCGAGTGGAGGGAGAGTCTGGCCTGGATATAGATACCTCTGCCCCGAGTTCTCTGCAAATGCAGTACCAGCAGAGCATGCAGGTGAGTGGCAGTGCCAAGCTGGGTGGTCTCAGGCTCAGGCAGGGCCAGTTCAAGTTCCATGTAGTCAAGGCAGTTCAGCCTAGAGGCCAGTTGGCTGACTTCCAGATCTCACTGTGGGCAGTCATTACTTTGGGGCTATACCTGGAGTCTAGGCCCTGCCTTGGCCTGACTGATTAGCACCCCAAGAGTAGATATGGTACTCATCAGTGTGTTCATGCTAAAGGACTCAAGGATACCAATGATAGGATCTGAAGGTTTCTTCACTTAATTGAGGACAAAGCCCAAACTGTCTGGGAGCATGAGCACCAGAATTGTCCATCCAGGATGTTGTCCTCTCATAGATGTGACACAGGGAGACTGTGTGCCCAGTCAGTGAGCAGCAGGACTGGGTATGTTACTTTCTTAGCCTGTCGGGGTGATTTTTGCAGTTAACTCTGATTATTGTCAGACTTGAATTCACCTGAAGTCCTTGGGAGTACTATGGATCCAGTTGCAGAGGACTCAAGTCTCCTAAAACGCTTCAGACTCTTAAGAGCATGGGCTTAGTCCCACTTGGGGCTGGGATACTTGGGCCCCCAAGGAGGAAGTGGCATCTCGGCCTCAACTGTGTCTGTCATGGCACTAGCGGCTGGACCACACTCTTTGCTGGCTTCCCTGTCCACCCTGCATGTGCTCTGGAGCTATTCTGTGTTGATGGCCTGAGCTATCCACTTCCTGTCACTCTTGGAGCCCTGCTAAGGCCTGTGCACTGCTTGGCTAAAGGGACAGGGTTTGCCTGTGTTCATTTGCTGAGTGATGGAGTTACTGTTAGAACACAGGATTGCTCACTGCCCTTTCTTGGCAAGATCTGTTCTTTATTCTGAGGTTAGGCTTTTTGGTAATGGGGATTAAACTTGGGTCCTTGCGCTTGCAAGGTAGGCGGCGGAACCACTGAGCTAAATCCCTGGCCCCTGAGGTTAGGTTTTTATACTTTGGCTTAGCCACCCTCATGGCTTCTACCCCCTAAAGGCCATTGGCAGACACATACTATTTATCTGTGACAATCACAAAAGTGTCCTCAGACAGTGTCCTAAGTTCCCTTGGGCCAAGGTTATCCCCTATGGGAACCATCCCTATAGCCCAATGGTTCTCTAGCTTTAAAATACACTTGAGCACCTGAGAATGAGTCTGGAGGTGATTCTGACTCATTAAATGTGGGTGCAGCCCAAGGTTCTTCAAGTGTTAAATGCCTGGGAAACACTGTGCAGCTAGCTGGCTGGCAAAGGCTCTGGCTCATGGGGATGCCATGAATCTATTTGATGTATTTTCTGAGACCCTCTGAGATTTGTATGACCTGTATTTACCTACCCTCTGACAAGGCTGACTTCTAAGATGGCTTCTGAATACCAGGCCCCTGGTAAACACTAATTTCTCTGCCATTTTTTCATCACTCAGGCCAGCACTGACTAAATGTTATTGCAGGTATAATGGGATTTTACAGATCTAATTGAGGTCTTTAGTTAGATCTCAGCTAGGCATGGTGACATACACCTGTAATCCCAGCACTCTGGAAGATCAAAAGTTTGAGCCCAGCCTGGATGATTTAGTGACTTAGTGAGACCTTATCTCAAAAAGTAAAAAAGGGCTGGAGATATAGCTCAGTGCAAAAGCCCTGGGTTCAATTCTGGAAAAATTTTTTTTTTTCCTGAGCAAGCCTGACCTAATCACAGCGCCTTTTAAAAGTCTGGGTCTGAGCTGGGCTGTTGGCACATGCCTGTAGTTCCAGAACTTGGGAGGCTGAGGCAGGAGGGTCACTAAGAGTTCAGAGCCAGCCTGGGCTACATGGTAAGCTCAAGGCCAGCCTGAGCTACATAGTGAGAGCCTGTCTTAAAAAAAGTCTGGATCCAGATGTCAGAGACAGAGAAGTCAAAGACATCGAGATCAGGTTGAGAGAAAGCATCATGTGGTGAGAGTGATATTTGCAGCCCTAATGACTTTGGCTATTCCATGTGCTGATGGTAGCAGGGAAGTAGACTTTGGTTCTCTACCTGTGAGCTTGCCGAGGTCTCAAGCCTCAGAGAGCATGTCCTGGCCAAGTGTATTGGTTTTTATTCTTGGGAGACCTGATCAGAGAACCCAGCTACACATGTGTGGGCTTCTGATTTACAGAACTGTCACCACATAAAAGGGTGGTGTTTGTTGCAGATCATTACACAGCCATAGAAAACAAATATTCTGTTTCCTAGAACAGGTTCGCACAATGTCATCTTAAAATACTCCTTTCCCTTTTCATCCTTTTTTGATGTTTACTTGTTGCCTCCCACCCATATCCTTAGCTTGGGACCCAGTCTGGTAAGGATCTTGGGGAGCAGCACTTGGGGAGGGTGTTGAGCCACTCATCTTAATTAACATAGCTTCTGAGCATCCAGTTTTTCTTTTGGTCTGGCTTCAGTTGGAGGAAAGAGCCGAGCAGATTCGCTCAAAGTCCTACCTCATCCAGGTGGAGCGAGAGAAGATGCAGATGGAGTTGAGTCACAAGCGGGCACGCGTGGAGCTGGAGAAGGCAGCCAGCACCAGTGCCAGGAACTATGAGGTGGGTCCGGGTGGGGTAGGCTGGCCAGCAGCCTTGGCAGGCAAGGCTATGTGTTGTACCTACCAGGACCTGGCCAGTTGGGGGCAGAAGTGCTCTGCATCCAGTTGTCAGGGCATTCCTCAGAGACTGTTGAAACTTCCTCAGAGAAACTTGAAGAACCTTGAGTTGCACCCACATTTACCAAGTCAGAATCACCTCCAGACTCATTCTCAGGTGCTCAAGTGTATTTTCTATTGCTGTGGGCCTGAGGTCAGCTGTATCAGATGTGGGTGGCCTCAAATGAAAATGGTTGCAAAAAGGGGCCCCTCACTGTGTTTGGTGCTCACTGAGGCCATGGTGTGGCAGATGTGCTTCCTCCGGGTCTCTGTTTCCTCTTCTCTCTGAAAGAATTGGAATGCAGATCTGTCAGAAATGCAGGTGGTATAGAGGTGACAGTGGGCTGGGAAAGTCACCGGGTTGTGTGAGGGGCTCAGAGTCTATGCTGGATCTTGCTCAGGTGTGTACAGATCCTCAGCCAAATGCCTTTGCTTAGTGGCTGCTGGTTTGCTGGGGACTTCCTAGGACAGCTGAGAAAGCACAGCCCTGTGACTCAGGGAGGTCTTTTTGCTTCCTTTTGATTAACAGCACTCTGCCAGGGATTTCAGTAAGTGCTGATCAGTTGTGGAAATACTGCCAAGATGCAGGCAAAGTGTTGGACTAGGAAGTCTCCTGGTGTCCCTGCAGGTCTGCTTCTTGCCATACTTGCATATTCTCACACTTCCTGAGTCCCTTGTTCAAGTAGCTGATGTCTTCCAGGGTGTGATACTAATTGGATTCATTTCTGGCTGTGATGTGTTACGTGGGCTCTGTGAACCAAGAGTTTGAAGTGCTCTCTTTTAGGGTTGGGCATGTTGCAACAGTGCTGATGGTGCAGCCCTCGTGTCTCTGGGCTCTGGACTACTGTAGTTTCTCTGAGCAGAGTCCCTTGTAAGCAGGCTCTGCTGCTGCTGGTCTCCAGTGCTCAGCCCCAGTGGTCGTATCTTGCAGGATCTGTGGGAACATTTGAATGAGTGAAGGCTTGCTGAGGGAATGGCCTTCTGGAAGGGAAAGGGTGCAGGGGTGGCTGAGCTTAGTCCTGGCCCTGTTGGGCTTGAGTTGCCTTCCCTTCCCTGCTCTCAGACATTTCCCACTAGGGTCCAGAGGTCATTGCATTGTTCCTGGGGCCTTGGGCCTCTACGTCAGTTTTTCAGGAACTACCAGTTTGGAGGTGGGTGCTTACAAGACAAGTGATCTCACCTAGAAATACCATTAGGTGGTAAGACCAAGGGGCTGAAGTCTGAGGACCTGCCTAAACTTGCATCTGTGCTCAGGACTGGTGATAACCAAGAGATATGTGTGTTTTGGCTCTGACGGTGCCAAACAGGTTCTGCACAGGCAAAACACTTTGTTTTTATTATTTTTTGGGTGCTGGTGATCAAACACATGGTATTGTGCATGCTAAGCACAATAGTGTGTCACTGAGCCTCATTCTAGTCCCCCAATAGAACATGCTCATTCTGCTTTGTAGCAGGGTGCCCTCGCTGTTTTGACACTGCACTTGCAGTCTCTGTCCCCTTGAGTACCTTTGAGAAGTGCATTAGACTCTCCTGTAGGAGACCATGGCCCCACCTGTGCTTTTGTTTTTGGTACTGGGGATTGAACTCGGGTCCTTGTGCTTGTGAGGCAGGTAGTGGAACCACTGAGCTAAATCTCCAGTCCCCACCTGTGCTTTTATTAAAGCACCTTCCACCTTCCTCTGTTTTAGGTTGGAGTATCCTGAAAAGGGTGGCACAAGGCATTCTTCTGAGTAGGACTGGCTTAGAAGTTCCTGGTGGCTCTAAGAGGGAGCATGTGCAGGAAGCTTCTTGCTGGGGGAAGGGTGAGAGGTCACCAGGGTGCTGGGCTCTAGGTTATCAGTGCTCACTGCTTTTCCTCCTGGGATTTGACTCCTTTGTGATCTCTTCTCTGTGGCTGATGGTGAACCCTTGTCTTCCCATGGATTGTTAGGGCCAGGAGGTCTAGGCCGAAGTTTCAGTTCCATCCTTTCTCACCTGCTTGAGCTGTATGACCTCCCTGAGGTTAATGATATGTGGTGGCTCTGAAGCTGTGGTTGAGGATGCACATTCTTACAGGTCTGGGCCCAGCATAGACCATTCTCTGCCTGCAGGCTGACGTTCACATTGCCTGTTCCTGTTGTAGTCATCTGCTTGTTGGGGGAACACCGACTCATTTAATGATGGCTTCAGTGGGTTAGACAAGATCTGCTGGTGCTGCAAAAGCTCGGCTGCTCTTCAAGGTCGATTCTGAATTTTAGATTTTCCACGCTCCATCTCTCCTTACAAAGACGATTGCTATGAGCAGACGGTACTATGAGCCCGTGGTGTGACCCATGCCAAGTGCCCTCCTGGGGCCCTGCTATCTCATAGCAGGAGAGGCCTTGCTGCCATGGTACGGGGCACTGGCATTGGCCCAGGCCTGCCCTGATTTGGATTTTGAACCTGCCTGTCTCTTCTGGGGGCCTGAGTGGCCTAAGTGAGTAGAGTATACACTCTACTTGGGATTGCATCTCCCTCTGGCCAAATTCCTTTCTCCAAAGCGCGAGGTTGACCGTAACCAAGAGCTCCTGGCACGCATCCGGCATCTTCAGGAGCGGGAGGCTGAGGCGGAGGAGAAGATGCGGGAGCAGCTAGAGCGCCACAGGCTGTGCAAGCAGAGCCTGGACACTGCCAGCCAGCAGCTGCGAGAGCAGGAGGACAGCTTGGCCACAGCCAGCGAGGTGAGTGCAGACCCATGCTGGAGCGAGGGTCCCCCGACCCTGTGGGAGTCGTTCTCTTCCTGTAGCTGTTTTCCAAGGAGAGAGAATGAGTGTACTGTCAGTGGTGCACCAACAGTTTTTGTATGATTGTGATCATAGTAAAAATAGCTAGTTTTCCGTTCTCTGGTTTTTAGTTGAGTGATCAATCTTTGGTCTTTGTAATTACGAATGTTGTTATTTTCAAGTATTCATTTCTTGTGCTTGCCCTGATGTGTCTATGGCAGAGAGTGTCCTGGGTGCAGCCTGTTGGTTCCTGTAGCACTGTTTTTTGTGGACAGACCTTAGAAGCAGGCTGAGAGGAGGCTAATGTAGCTTTCTGGGTGTAGCGTGGTTGACTTCTGTCGTCTTCTCTGTCCTGGATGGTGGGATGCTTGGGCAGTATTTCTTTTTTTTCTCAGAATATGTAAGTAGGTTCCTCTGGATTTGCATTTCTTTGATCATCAGCAAGGTCTGTTAGCGTTTCCTTGCATCAGGGAATGCCTTTGAACCTGGCAAATGTGAACCGCAGTCCTTAGGAAGGCTGTGTTTGTTTTAGAGACAACCTGAGTGTTGGCGCCAGTGGGCACTGGGATCCTCTGACCTTCCTGTCCCTGTTTGGCAGTGTTCAAGATCACAGGTGCCAAGAGGAGAGGGATGAGAGCTTCCCCTGAGGGAGGGCTGTGTCACATCATTAGTATTCCATCTCCACACTGTGCTTTTCTCTTGCTAGATCCTCAGGGTGGCCGCAGGTTATTTTTGCTGTCGGAGTGCCAGGGAGCATGCTAAGGTGTTCCTGCACCTGTCTGCTGCGGTGAGTGCAGGCAGGAGAGGAGGTGAAACAAGCTTCTGGAAGCTGGCTTCTGCCCTCTGGGTCCCAGGCCCGTGTTTTGGGCATCACCACCATTCTGTGCCAGAGAGGAGCCACACACAACCTCAGGGTAGAGCAGAAGAGGTGGTCCTGATGGGGCCATTTGAGTGTGAAGTCATGCCTCCTCAGAAAGGTCCTCCTGGTCACTCAGTCCACAGTGACAGGCCCCTGCTCTGGACAGCATGCTTCCGTCTCAGTCCCCTGATTTATAACTGCAGTTCTCTCATTCACCTGTTTGCTTGTTGTGTGTCTGACCTCCCCGATGTCTATTCTTCATTAGGACAGCTGTCTCTGGCTAGCGTTGGTTCCCTGTGTGTATTTATTGAGTTCAGTAGGACCTCTCAACGAAGGGTTTGTTTTTGTCTGTGTTTTTGATTCTTCCATTCTTTTTTGAGTGTCAGACTAGTTAGTGCTCACTGTTATCATAAGTGAATTGTGCAGATTGCTTGAGTGTGAGATGTCTGCATCCGACTTCCCAGAGGGCTGTGTGGTAAATAACATGGATGTATTTCAACAGGCCCTGGGTTGATGTAGATTCTCTGGGCAGGGAAGCAAGTCTGTGGCTTCTGTTTGCAAAAAGTGCCACCTGGGCAGGGAGCCAGGCCCTTAGCCACCCAGATGGTGTACCAGCATTCCTCCTATGGTGTTTGCTAGACTCATTGTCTTGCCCTGTATGTACAGGTTTCCTGGGGTTGACACTGAGGCACATTTCCCTGGTTAATTTATGTGATACTGTTAAGCAGACTTGGCCAGTGTTCTTTCCCTAGGAGAGCTACAGGGGAGGTTGCTGGGTGAGTGTGCTGAGAGGGCAAGGGAAGTTCCTTCATGTGGCTGTCAGTGTGTTGGCAGACTCGCTGTGCTGTTCTGTCCTGGAGGCTTCTGGGTGGGCGCTGCTTGCTTTGCCCGGGGGGTACCTCCTGTTCTGAGCATGTGGTGACCCAGCAGCTTCTCGCGCACTTGGCTGGCCTGGGGGTTCTGTGTCCTCACTGATGGCTGGTGTCTCAGCAGGACCAGTGTGGTTTGGAAAGGGATTCTAGGGTAGGAGTGTGATGGTAACAGCTGAGGTGAACAACTGGTAGATGTGGATGCTGTGGGCATGTTATGGGCATGGTTAAATGACACCTGGCCTGAGAGGCAGGCTCATCCTGGCTTTTGGCTCAAGAGCCTCCCAATGGGGCAAGCTGTCTTAGGTGCTACTGTGACCTGAATCTGTCTGTTGTCTCATAAGCATGAGGCAGGGCCTTGCACTGGTATGCTTCTGTCTCTGCTACCTAGGTGCATGCTCCCCAGGAGAGGGGTTCTGTCCCTCCCCAGGTGGCAGTTGGGAGGTACCAGGATTTTCCTTTTGCCCCTCATCTGTGAGAGCCAGGCCTGCCTCAGCACACTGCCTCTGCTTTCAGACGATCAGCACATTGAAGGGACGAGTCTCAGAGATTCAGTGGAGCTTGATGGATCAGGAAGTGCAGGTGAAGCGGCTGGAGTCTGAGAAGCAGGAGCTCCAGGAGCAGCTTGACCTGCAGCACAGGTAAAGGTTGTGGACCTGCAGGAGGGCCCATCGCTGAGGCAGTTAGACCGAAACAGGAAGTGACAGAATAGTGAGCATGTGAAACACTCCTGAGTTGGAACAGGGGTGGGGGGCAGGGCAGTAGCCTTCCAGAGATGGAGTTGTGCTGAGCTAGGTTTTGAAGGGCGTGCAGGATGTCCCTGGAGGTGGGAGGGCTGCAGATGGTAAGGTTGTTCCAGGTGCAGGGGTCACACTAGGCAAGGCAGGGATATGTGAGGTCCAGGTAGGTGCTAGCTGGAGGCATGGCCTTGTTCTCAAGTTCTCTCTTGAAGAGTTGGCCATTTTCCTAGTAAGTGTTGTCGGAGCTATGTCTGCTCCCTGGGGAAGAAGAGCAGTTAGGCTTAAGTGACTCCTTCCCAGCTTTACCAAGGCTGGTGGACATGCAGGGAGAGTGTACCCAGAGAGCTGTAGGCTGCTGTGGGGCCAGGCTCCCCACTGTGCTCCCTCTCTAGGAGTTCAAGGCCTCTGAACCAGTGCAGACTACTCCAGGCACCCTTGTAGCATGTGGTGTGGGTCTGTGCTGGGACTCAGGCTGAGCTGTTCCTGGATCTGATGTGCTCTTCTTTTATTAGAAAATGGCAGGAAGCAAATCAGAAAATTCAGGAGCTCCAAGCCAGCCAAGAAGCCAGAGAAGACCAGGAACAGAAGATTAAGGTGGGTCACTCTGTCACGCTTTGGACATGCATCCTGTAAATGTGAAGACATCATAGGGGTGGTCTCTGCCCTCCTGCCCCCCACAGATCTTTCTGAGCCAAGGATATTTCAGTGGCATTTGTGGGTGTTAACTGGTTGTCTCCTGCATACCAAGTATAATGCTGGGTGATGGGGAGGTCGCGTTAGTGGGATGGACACTTCTGATCATAGAAAGTTCGAATCTTACTGGAAGATACACAGGAAACATAAGGGGTAGATGTTGAGGGTGGTCTGAAGTGGTCTGGAGAGATAGAAGCCCTACTCCTGGGGACGTGACTGAGCATGCCTGAGCTGGGTCCATCTGATGCAGGGTTAGACCTTGCTCCTTCACTGTAGGGGACACTTCTGGAGAGATGGTGTCTTGAGATCCTTTCTACGGCTTCCTGTTTCTTTCTGAGTAGCACTCGGTCCCCATGGGAGGCCTATGCTGCCAGCTGCCTGTGGTTTTCCTACAGTGGGCGCCTGGGCAGGCCTCAGGGAGCTTTGCTCTTGTTGTCCTGGGCTACCGGTTCATCCAGCATCCTGGCTTCCTTCTTCTTGTACTGTGCCCTACCTCCAGCACTGGGCTTGTGTGAACAGTCTGATTTGTCTTCCATATCACTCGATCCCTGTCACTTGACCTGTTCTCTGGACATCACTGTGCTCCATGGGAGTTTGTTTATTGACTTGGTCCTGGTTGCATACTCTGCTTGTTTTCTGACTTGTCACAGAAGCCAGTGCTGTCCTGATGAGTCCCAAGGTGGCAGACTATGAAGGAAAGTCTGTCCTCACAGTTGGAGCAGACTCACTGTGGCAGGTGCTGCAGGAGGCAGGTGTCATGCTGGGAATGTCTGGGCCGATGTGCGGCAGACTTCTGTTTCCTGAGACTGAGGGCGGGGTGATGGTGTGGATGGCACACAGCAGGCAGGCTGCCCTGGAAGCAGGTGGCAAGGACGCAGCCCAGAGGCCCATGTAGTGCAGTGGGAGAAGGCTTCCTAGAGGAGGGACCTCTGCTGGGGTTGGCAGTGGGGAGGTAGCTGAGCAGGGCAGCCCCTACTCTTTCACTCCCTGTCATTCTGCCTTCTCTGTCCTACAGGGGAACCTTCTGGCTTGTGCCTCCCAGTTTGAATTCTCTTCATTCCTGCCGTTTACCCTTTTTTTTCTTTTTCCTGCCTGCTTCTGTCAGGACTTGGAGCAGAAACTGTGCCTGCAGGAGCAGGACGCTGCTGTCGTGAGGAGCATGAAGTCTGAGCTGCTGCGGCTGCCCAGGGTGGAGCGGGAGCTGAAGCAGCTGCGGGAGGAGAATGCCCACCTGCGGTGAGGGGCTGAGGACTTGGGGAACAGTGGAATTAGGGTTTATGGGGCAGGTGCCTACATTCCTGGCTCTGGGTTCATCCTTAGCCCTCATAGCTGCTGGAGTGACTGTTCTGGCCCTGCAGGGAGATGAGGGACACCAACGGGGTGCTCACAGAGGAGCTGGAAGGGCTGCAGCGGCGGCTGGGCCGGCAGGAGAAGATACAGGAAGCTTTGATTGGCCTGGAGCTGGAGAAGGAGGTAAGGGTCTTGGTGGGTGGGTTATGCCTGCAGGACTGTCCTCTACTCTCTCAGGGGACCCAAGACATCTGTCATTTGTAGCAGCTGGTCGGTCACCTGTGATGTGGCTGCTGGTATGGTGTTGTGTTGAGTAAAAAGCAGCCCTCACGGAGATCCACATCCTAATCCAGAACCTATGAAGGTATTACTGTGGGCAGGAGGGGATGAGCTTGCTGACCTTGGCCACAGTGGAGAGAACTCTTCTGCTGTCCAGGTGGGCTGTGCAGTCTCAGGGAGGTGGGAGCTATCTAGGGGCTGCTGGCTGCGTAGATAGAGGAAGGGGCCCTGAGCTGAGAGGTGCAGGTACCTCTAGAACCTGGAAAAGCAGGAGATAGCCTATCCCAAGAACCTTCAGGAAGATCCAGCCCTGGTCGCACCTTGATTTAAGCCCAGTGAGACCTGGTTTGGGTTTCTGAACTAAAGAGCTATAAAAGAATTAGCGTGGAAGCCACTGAGTTTGTGTGGAATACACTTGCAGATGGTGAGTCGGAGGAAATGACAGGCGGTGCCTGTGAGGCAGACAGAGAGGAGACCTGCGCTTCTGTCTTCTCCCTTTGTCTGCTCTTGTGACTCACTGGTGGTGCTGTGTGGGAAGATGCCCATGTTGGGTAGCATTAGAGTCACTGTGGGCAGAGAAGCTCCCTCTCTTGCCTGGTGTCCAGTGAGTTTGGGCCAGAGCTTAGGCTTGCTGGCTTCTTGGGTCTTTGTCCTTCATGCTTCTTCCCTGTGGTCACTCTGTCGCTCTCCTTCCCTGGTTTGTCTGTCATGCACTGGGCCACTGTTCTAATCCTGTCCCATTCTTTAGGAGAGTTAGTATCAGGCTACATTTTGGCCCTGTCAACTGCCCCATCACATGTTGGCCAATTCCTGAGCTGCCCCCTGGGGTCGTGTGCACCCTGGTCTTGTTCAGAGGTGCAGGACAGGTGAGGGCCTATTGGGGTGCAGAGCTCTGTGAGTAGTCTGGCAGTGGCTTCCTGTCAGTGAGCTTCTCCCCTAAGATGGGCTTCTGGGGGACCATGGGCTGGAGAAATGCTCCCAGACCAATTACTTTTCTCTGTTTTTCTTGACATAATTGTAAGTTTAGCAAATTACTTAAGACTGGGGGCTGTGGATACACCTAGTTTGAAGTCCTGCTATGGATGCTTGATGGCTGTGTGATGCTGGGCCCAGTCCTTAGCTGTGCTTGGTCCTGTACATGTGAGGTGCGCTGACAGCCTCTGCCTTTTGTAAAGTGCTTAGAGCAGAGCCTGGTGCACAGTACATGTTCCGCAGCACAGGCTGTCAGGGAGGTGTCAGTCAGGCCTCTCTGGCACCTCAAGAGGCTCTGGAAATATTTGAGTGAACCATTGGTGACAGCACTCTGCTGGACACCCGGAGGAGGTGACAGGAGGCTAGATCAAAAAAGTATGTGGCCCTTTCCCAGGTGTGGTGACACATGCCTATAGTCCTAGTACTGAGGATGAGAGGCTGAGGTAGGATCACCACAAGTTCGACGCCAACCTGGACTACATTGTGAGACCTGGTCTCATAAAAAGAAAAGAAAAAGAGGGGCCAGGAATTTGGCTCAGTGGTTCTGCTGCCTGCCTATACAAGTACCCAAGTTTGATCCCTGGTACCAAAAAAAAAAAAAAAAGAAAAAAAAAGAAAAGAAAAA